TTCTTCTTCTTCTTCTTCTTCTTCTTCTTCTTCTTCTTCTTCTTCTTCTTCTTCTTCTTCTTCTTCTTCTTCTTCTTCTTCTTCTTCTTCTTCTTCTTCTCCAGTAGAACTGGAGTGAGCAGCCAGAAGAGCACGGCCTCGTGAACCACACATGAAGACAGAAAACTATCAGAAAAACACGACTAGGCAGAAACTAAAGGTTGACAGAAATGAATCCAGACGTCGAAGTCTCGGTGTTTTCCTTTTTCTTTGACTAAAATCGAGTCGTCAAACAGTTGATGTTCGGAGCTCGTGATGTGTTCCTGCCTTCAGAGCAGCTCCAGTCCTGCTACACTTACACTCACTGTGATAAGGCTCTGTGTGTGTGTGTGTGTGTGTGTGACCTCATCATGTTTTTATTTCATGTTGTTCCAGCAGGCTGCGCTGACGTCCTGCAGAGTAAATACAGCGCTTCTGGTACCAGGCTGCGAGATTAGACAACTGAGTCCACTCACATGAGGATATCCAGCAGTGAGTGTGTGTGTGTCAGTGAGTGTGTGTGTGTCAGTGAGTGTGTGTGTGTACCAGGCAGTTATCACTTATGTTTATGACTAAAGAAGACCCTAAGACTGAAACCTCCAACATCATCTCTGTATATGTCAATGTCTCTCTCACACACACATCAATGTCTCTCTCTCTCTCTCTCTCACACACACACACGTGCGCACACACACACACACACACTACTGTAGACACTCCTGTTTTATCTACACTGAATTCTTCAGTCCCTCCAACAAAAAAACACTCGCTGGCATGTGAGGAATGTTTCATTTAGAAACATGACAACAGTCAAACATTTTGAAGGATGCGCCCATCAGCCCAGCGCGCCCTGCAGTTTTTCATAATATCTCTTCAAATATCTCTTCAGCCCCAGAACCCCGGCGAGCAGTCGTTGCTTTTTTGGTGAAACAGTGTCAGCTACTGTTTGCTAAAATGCTAACATGCTAACAGGACAGTTGGTAAATATGTTCTAGTTCTAGTTTGTGAAATGAACGATATTTCCCAGCATTCAACACACAACAGTACTGAACCGGACCACCGGTCAAACTTTGAACCTCATCTTGGACACCGCTGCTACAACATATTGTTTTAGTGACAATAGCATCCAGAATAGTCGCTCCTGAAACACTCGATTGATATATATATTTTTTTTGATCAGTGCTTCCACGTTATTTCTGTCCCAGTTTCCTCCCTGTGTTTTTCCACTTCCTCCAGTGGCACCGTGACATTTGGTTCTCCGTTCAACTGCTGAGGACTATTTATCAAACACGGAAAAACCTCTGGAACAGGAGTTTATGACGGTTCTCTCAACAACAGTGCCACCATCCAAGAAGTAACAGAAGTAAATCATCAGAGGAAGGAGGAGAAGGAGGTGAAGGAGGAGAAGGAGGTGAAGGAGGAGAAGGAGGTGAAGGTGAACATCCTGTTCACAACTGCTTCCTGATACCTGGACGACCACTGTACGTCTGACACCACGTCTTCAACAAAGAAAATAATCAGGGCTCCACCTGGACTGGTTCTGGTTCTGGTTATAAAGTGTTTAAATAAATGTCAACGTTTGTCCCTGAGGCTGTGAACACGATCAGCTCGTCAGGTTTAAAGATAAGTGCTGGAAATGGAAGGGTTAACCTTAAATTATTCACAAACTTTAAAATATGACTGTGGTCAAGATGTGAAAGTAACCACAAAAAAAAAGTCAAATGATCATAATGAAGCCAGAGACAATAACTAACCAACAACATCTAAAAGAAAGACCAAATTTATATCAAAGTTTTAGTCCTAATTTAAGTCAAACTAACCTTGAACAGTCGGAGAAAAAAAAAAAAGAGAGTTTATCTAAAAGCACTCCAGAAACGACCAAAACAGCCAAGATCCCTAACTGAGTTAGGGACCGCTGAAAACTAGTCAGAAATGAAACAAACCTGTCGAGAGATAAATGGACTGAACTTGAAGAAAATGGTGCAATTTAGCAAAAATACATATAAAAAGTCCCTCTATAGTTTATTATGGGTATGTGTGTGTGTGTGTGTGTGTGTGTGTGTGTGTGTGTGTAGTACCTGTTGTATGGGTTCCTCAGCAGCAGGGCCTGACTGCCTGTACAGCTGTCTGTAGGTGTGTGACATCCGTAGACTGGTGGAGGCACAGGGTACTGCTGCTCACCTACTACACACACACACACACACACACACACACAGATTTATAAATATACTGCTGGCGTGCAGATGGAGGTAAACTTGTTTATGTCTCCCTCCGAGGGACTAAAGGAGAACTTCCTTCATATCTCATCTTTTTTTTTTCTTGACTCTTCCGTGCAGTCGCCTCCACTTTTCTTCTACAAATAAAGAGCTCTGGCTCCGTCTTTCATATCTGCGCTCTTCCCCCGGCAACTCAACGAATGGTTCCCCTGACGCTTCCCCACATTCCAAAAATCCCCCTCAGCCTCAGTTCTTCCCAAACCATCAGCAAAACAAAAATATCATAAAAAAACTCACTGGCTGTTCATAAAACGACACATTTAATTATTTACTAATAACAATAACACGGAGTGGAGGAGGTGGAGGGGGGGCGGAGGACAGGAGGGGGTGTCAGGGAGGAGACGAGGGAGTTAGCGAGTCAGGATGTGGCTGATTTATGCCCCGGCCAGGGGAGGTCACCGCAGTCATGTCAGAATAAGGGACAAGACCCTCCCTAGGTGAGGTCCACGGAGCTGCCGTGTAGGAGCAGCTGCAGCGTCGGCTCTGGACCAAAGTTATACATTTGGACTGAAGCCAACGTGGCAGCAGACACTGATCTGTGAGAATTTTATATTTTTTATTTACAGTCGATTCCATATTGATCTCCACTAGGATCTATTTTTGTAACAGATGTTTTTTAAAAAGGGAGAGATTTAAAAATAATCCAGGGATCGATGTTGAAGATGATAAATATGTGTCAAACAAACTCAAACAACAATGAATCATTGTTAAAAACAACACTTTCCCTCTGCGTCAACATAAAAGACGACATTTTTACAGTTGCACAACGCAGAAAAACTTGCTTAATTTGGCAGTTTTTGTTTTTTTTCACTTGATATCAGTTGACCGTTAGCCAGTGGAAACACGGAGCTGAAGGACTGGAGCTCAAAGTTAAAGTTAAAAAATGTAAAAGAACCAAAACACCCGTCATCAACTGAAGTCTAAAATATTATCACACAACTGTTGAAGTATTCTCAGTACCATTAACACATTTGTCTAATGATCAGGGATGATCGATAATATCGGCCCGATATTAGCATAATTATGTAACATCTGTAAGAATCGTTATCGTTTTTTTTCTCTGATATTGAAAACCCGATAACGCAATTCCTGGGTTTGACATTGCGATGTTTTGGGGAAAAACGGCTGTATGTTTAAGTGAAAGTCACTAGATGGCAGCATTGCAGCTCATTTATTTAATCTCATTCTCACACCAGGCCTATATTGGTATCGGTTTATACCGGAATCGGAAATGAAGTGTCTGGACAGTATCGGCGTATCGGATATCGGCAAAAAGTTAAATAACTCACCCATGCTGTTCTGCTGAGTCAGAGCGTCTTCGTGTTTGAAGGAGTGGTTGGAGAACTGAGAGCTGTGGTGTGAAGGAGTGTGGCCGTAGTTTGAAGCTCCGTCGAACGCCACCGCGCCGTAACCTGCAACACAAACAACAACAACAACAATCATCATAAAAAAAAAATCTCTCTTTTTTAAAATAGAAAAAACTATCAAACTCTGGAGACATTTGACTCAATTTCATCCTCATTCCAACCACGTGACGTGACAAGAAGGAAACAGCGCTCCCAGGTGTTAGGGTGTGGTTCATGAATGGGAGGTAAATAAATAAATAAAATATAAAGAACACAGTAAAACTTCAGTAACAGGATTGAATTAATTCATTTTATTAAATATAATTCTCTCTATTTATGAGACACTATATATAATATCAACTATATGGTTGATATTACAGTATATGATGTGATGTGATGTCACTGTCGGAGGTCGGTGACAACAGACGTCCAATCAAACACAGCGTTCACTGCAGCATCAATGTGGGTTTTTTTCAAAAAAAAAAAAAAATCATACTTTGTTTTTCATTCATATCATAATAATTTTTTTTCACTGTTAGTTCTGATAAATGACCCCCCCCTAAACCCCCACCCCCTCCTCCACCACCCCCACACACACACACACAAACTGAGTCTGTGCCTGGCACCCCCTGTGCCTGGCACCTCAGTCCTGACCTGAAGGACTCACCAATCACACCCTCATAAATCAATCACACACACACACACACACACACACACACACTCCATGACATCAACAGCAACACTTTCACTGACATGTGTGTGTGTGTGTGCGTGTGTGTGTGAATCACTCAGAGAAGAGAAAAAAAAACCTCATTAAATTCCTCCATTTATCTTCAACTCAACCCTGTCTGACCACCACCTGCCCCCCCCCACACCTCCTGTGTGTGTGTGTGTGTGTGTGTGAGTGTGTGTGTGAAGTCCAGCCGTGTGTTGACGGGGTCAGTTTTTATTCAAGCGGAAAAGTGAGGCCTGGAAATACCCTCATTTCAACAGTTTCTTGACGCTCTAATAAACATCACTTTTAAAAAGTTTTTTTTTTTTTTTTGGTGGTAAATAAGTATTAACTGACAATTATTTATTTCTTTAATAAAGACTAAATAAACTTTTTTTTTTAAAACAAGAAATCCCTGGATTTCATATTTTCCAAATAAAGTTTATAGAACTTTCTTGAAAAAGCTCTGATTTCATTTTTATTATTCGTTTTTTTTAAATTATTTCCACGCTCTATGAAAACTAACTCCTCTCTAAAGTATTTTCTATTTTATTTTAAACAGTTCAGTGAGTTTTAACACCGGCCCTATTTTGGCGTCTCCTGATTTTAAACTTGACTTTTACTGTAGTGGAAACATCAAATTTATTCCTACAAATGAAATGTCAAAATTACGACACGTGTCGTTAGAAACTGATTTACTGAACAAAATGATTCATGTCACTGTTTATCCTCTGAAATCCAGCTTCATTTGATTCTTTTCACCTTTACTCCTCTGATAAAAATGTATTCTAAGAGAATTAAGGGAGAGACAAGCGACATAAAGAACACACTCCCCGCGCTTGGACACAGAGTTCTGAATAAATCCTTTTAGAATCGGGGAGCGTTGGCCGCAGGACGGCGGTGAAACGTGTGAAACGACCGTGCTGCCGTTCCCTGTGTGACCCTGGTTGGTTTGTTTGTCTGTGCTCGTCCAGCCACAGCAGCAGGGGTCAGATAAAACTGACTTCAGGTCAGCTCCGGGCTTTCATTCCAATGTTATTTCTAAATTATCTGCCTGATAAGCATTTGATTGGTAATTAATCTGCTGCTAATTCATTATCCTGACCCGGGGTCAGATATGAGCGTCAGTAAGAACCAGAGAGCAGGTAAAGGTAAACGTAAAGGTTGTTTTTGTTTCAGGTCGAACGCTGACTTATTCAGTCATTTCATTGGTTTTACTCTTTACACTTTTCTTTAAAATTTTATTCTGACTTGAGGTGAGAATTAAAATCTGTTTTAATTTAGTCTG